GTAAATGAGGACAACCACTAAAAACGTCATCTTAGAGCCACTGGGATCCTACTATGTCATAATCATAAGGCAGTTAGGAAAAAATATAGCAAGCCATTAAACTGACCACCTGATGCCCACAGCTGGATCCCCCACATCTGGCTGTGTTGTGACACCTCCATACATACTCATTCACAAACACTTGGGCAGATGAGGTGATGTTAGTTCTGCTGGTTGGGAGCCAACAGGCAATAACAACATTATTCCCTTTACAATGTGCCAAACCTGGCCTCTGTGCCACGGCTCACAAGGGAATATATGTTTTAAGAACAGAGAGTGGACACATAGCTACCCATAGCTACAGATAAATCCATGAAGACTACCTCCCCCATTTTAGGGGAGGGAGATTTCAGAAAGAGACAATATCATAGAGATTTCTGGAAGCAGAAGTAAAGTCCCAAGAAAATTTGTGAAATTATGTTCCTGTCATCTCCCTCCCTACATATCAGTGTTCCTTTCTAGCACTCAGATGTCTAGCACTTCTGCTTTAACTCCCTACTCTCTTGTTATGATGCAGCTTTATTTAATCAAATATTAAGAAAGTTAGATCCATGAAGTAACAAGTGGCAGTCTCCTGCCTTTACATTCCCTTTCAAAGAAAGCACAGAGATGGCAAACACTGGCTACTACAAAAGCTTTACTTAACAGCACTAGAAGCATTTTAGCTTTGAGACATTCAAAAAACATTCCACAGAAAGAGTAATAAGTAGAGACTGAGAAACTGAAATATTGGTGTGATGACAATAAGTTCTTAAAGAAGGGAGTAAAGAAACTTTGTCTCATCAGGTGATTCTTTCACATTGCTATTCCTCGCTTGCTATTCCTACCATTGCTAATGCTTCCCAGATAGGCTTCCTGTCATTCCACCAGGAACACCCATCCTTCTTACCACATTGTCCACAGTGCTGTTGTCTTTATAAACAAATGGCAATAAACTCTATGAGCCAAGGGAACAGTCACTGTCTATTACTAATATTAAGGTCCTTGACACTGTACTTTACTGAGTGAAAGATCCTGATATTATGAGATATTTTAAAACTAACATGATTTTTTAAAGGTCAAGGTCTTCAAATTTGGATGGCAATTTCTTACAGCCACAGCTATTAATAGCTGCATTTTTTTATTACAACTGCTTATTAGGAAGGTGATAGTAATTATATCCACTATATATATCCACTTAGGTAAAAAAGCACGTGCAACACTCAAAAGTGATTAAGATTCTATCAAGTTACTGTTTCTAGTTCACCTGTAGAGAGATTTTCAATGTTTACAGCAATGAAAAAAAATGGGAAAAGTTACAGATTTGATGCAAACTTGCAAGTTTGTGTTTAAATACGGGTACAATAATTTAAGTTTATGAAGTCTGAAAATTAAATTTGCACTGTGTTTACAATCTGTTATTGCTAAAACAAAAGACACATTATGATGATAAATGACCACAAACCCTGTAACTTCCAATTTTCACTTTACTACTTCCTGAATTTCTTAATTCTTTAATTCCCTCTAGTTCAGGAAAGACTAATTAATTCAAAGAACCATAACAACCAGTCATTGGTTAAATAAATTTAAAAGGAAAATGTCTTTCCCGGGAGAGACCATTGCTCATTTTAATTAAAATTAACATTTTGTGATGTAATGTAAATAAAGGTTATTGTATCCTTTTGCTCCAACAACATATTAACTTTTTAACCACCTACAGAGATAATTCATGGTTTAAATTGCCAAGGAAATTATTTTCATCATACAAACTAATTTTAGTGAACTAGGCTATTTATTCACTTTTAATGTGTATCCTCTATTATTTTATGAAGAAATTCTGAAACACTGAATGTGTAAAATGCTAGTAGACACATTTTTTTGTCTTAAGAGACTGTACAAAGACATCTGTTGTAGCTATCAAAGATAAGTTTAGCTGCATAAGCGTTCACAGCCAAAGCAGGGAGTGATCTCTCCAAATCCAGTATTTTTTTTGAACAGAGAACATAGGTAAAATAACATTTTTTAGGAGCCACTTTCCAACAACTAATGCAGTTGCTTACACAGCTTTATAGGAAAGTAAACATTATCAATATGTACATCAAAAACAAACAGAAAACTGTCTCTTATATTGTAAGCATACCAGCCAGGTTCTTCATGTGTAGTAGTAAACATACACAAACACACATGGAATTTTACTGACCTACTTAAAAATAGGTGTGTGCAGTGTATATTTCAGTACATACCTACCACAAAAGAGGACTTCTGCCAGAGGCGGTGTGGCTGAAGTTACATTTTCACAACAAAATACCTAGTTCAGATTAGCCATCTTATTCTAAAAGTCTTTTGGAGGACAACACATTACAGTCTTCGTGTCAAAGCAAAGTCAACAGCACTTTGAATAGAAAGATAAATTTATCAAGCTAAGAACTGTTTTGATCCTCTCTCCATATGGATTTTGTAAATACGTATCTGACTTAATTATGCTGCTCCAAAACCATACCTTTTTGGGCAATGAATTAAAAGAAAAAATATAGAGATTACTTTTGAAAAAATACATATGTTTTTTGTTTTAACAGTTTAAAGTTATGTAAGAAGGTGCATTGAAATTTCCAACTCAGACTGGAAAATCACTATGATTGAACTGTTTACTAAAAATGCTTAATAAGACAGTAAAAAGCATTTTGGCAATTAAACACATAAAAAAATGGGGAAGAAAAGCTGCACTGACCAGCTTTGGAAATCGTGGCATAGATTAAATTAATGTGTCAACAGAAGCCAAGTCAACAGTGCGCTCCGCCAGTGCTGCCTACTGCTGCTTTGTGAGGACACAGGTCTGGCCCACAACTTGAACCAGATAAGCTTGTTATGCAAATGCAGTTAGCCATCAGGAAGGAGGTAGATAATGAAATTACTCCAGGGCTAACCACTCATCACAAGGGTGACAGAAACATCAGGCAAGGTCCGAACATATGGATAAATGGCAGTATGGAATTTATACAATCACTGCTTTTAATTTATCATAACTAAGCTGTCACAAGGCAGATATCAACAAATGCATAACTAATGCATATAAATGAGTCAATTATCAGTAATGGCTAAAAGGTTTGCAGTTGTCTCATGCCGTGTTTCATTATTTCCTTATTTTTTCCTGGAAAATTCACAAATGTTAATTTAAACCTCCATATAAATATTTCATAACCTTAGCACCATAAATTGAGTTCACATGCACAAGATGGAACAATGTCACACAATCCTTTTCCAGCATTTTCTTACAAGCAGCTACAAAAGAGGTGAATTTATTGCAATTGTTGCATTGCTTTGTGTTAAGAGACTACCTATAAGTATACTCCTTACTTCATTGCATACGTAACCATAAAAATGAAAAACAATATTTGAGAACCTGCAGATGTTGCTGGTGGGAGGAAGTATTTAAGTAAATGTAATTAAAAATCAATTTGACTACAAATATGTAATTCGAAGATATCAAAAACCCAAAGGACAAGATTAAAATCAAGTACAGCTTCAAAATACTAGTCTGACTTCTTTTATGAACAGCGCATGCTGGGCTAAAGGAACATTAAGGAATATTAAACTTTTTTTGTATTGTTCTCAAGCTCAGCAAGGACTTCTAAAATAAAGATATCAAGATAAAACCTGAATGATAATGCAGAAGCACAATGTTTCTGAGAAAGGAATTTAATCTCCATGTTTACCAGCTGTTCTGACTCTTTAAAGCATGAGTGGAAGATAACCCACCAGTGATAGTGTTCCCCAACACTGTCCATAAATATAAAAAAAAAAAAAAAAAAAAAAAGGCTTTCTCTATAATAGACTGGAATTTATTCACCACTCACCAGCTTCTAGAATCAATCACTGATTCTGATATAGATTATAATTTACACTTGTTTAAACAAGAAAATGGAGAAATAGGTCGTTCTTAAAAAAGGACATATTTCCACTGTATACATTTCAGTAATGAGAGTAACAACCTTCATCTGTAGGCTAACTGTACCGGCTGCCTTACCTTATGGCCTGGTTAAAAATTAGTGCAGCAAATCTTTTTTTTCCCCAGAAATTTATAGAAATTGTATTAGCCTTTTTATTTCTAACTTCTCATGAAATCTAAAGATGCTACACAATCAACTGAAAAAGAATGAGATTCAAGCAGGGATACTCTGGGATACTCTCCATAACTATAGTTACGGAACAGATTCAAAATGGACTTTTCCAGAGTTTCAAATAATGTTCACAAGGCAATACTGAAAAATGGTGTTCAAGGCATTTCATAATTCAAAATATGTAAACTTCAAAGAGTTATGATAATATTATCCCCGGGATTACACAGTTTAGGTCACAATGAAATCCTAATGAACCCTAGAAATCACTCATAAAATTTGCTGAAGTTTTTTGATATAATACTAATAATCAATAATTTTTGACTAATAGGAGAAAAAGGAGAGAGGAGAGAAAAGGACATAGTTTAATTCAATGATGGTCACATCCACAAAGTCTATTGCATTTTGAAAATATACTGCACTTTGGTACAATTCAATTGGTTGGATATATTACATATTATATAAGAGTAAAGTAAGGTAGAAAAATACAACTATTTTTTCCTCTTCTTTTAAACTGTTATTTGAAATTCACAAGCAGTCATTTCCAGTAAGATGTTTTTCCTGTGACATGAAACTTCACTGCAAAGTCATCAAGCAAATCAGGTATATTAATAAACCTGCCCTGGGTCCATCAAAAGCCAAGAAGCTGATCAACTAAGGAGCTCAGAGAAGCTGTGAAGCAAATTACACGAAAAGATCAAACTGTGCAATATTGATTTCAGAAACTGAAGAACAGTTTAGAACTATGAAAATAAAATTGAGATCAAAATCTCCTGTATAAACAACAACTCCTTTAAACAAATTCTGCTTTCAGTCAGTCACACATAGTACATACTGAATAATCTGTTTTAAAGGAAAAAAACTCACTGTGAAATGAAATGGTTGAATCCTCTGCACCATTTTTCAGGATGTAGCAAAGTAGGAGGAGGATTTCTGAAAACAAGAACAAAAAAGCTTGGAGGGGTTTCAATGTTAATGTTTACTGGCACGTTCTTATAGTCAGTCAACAAACATGAAAGTGGTTGCACAGAGGAGAAAATAACGATGCAGAAAGTAATGTCTAAAGAGTTCATATCCTTCAGGGGCCTGTTGGGTTTTTCTTGCTGCTGTTTTCTTAAGTGACAATTTTGCCCTCTTCCTGAGTTCCTCCTCCTGTTTCAATGCCTCTCAAGTTGGCAGTCAGTACAGCACACACGGTGCTTCCCAGCATTTCCCTGTCAACTCAGCCTGACTCAAGATCAGCTGAGTGGAAGACCCACCTAGTCATTACACCCTCTTAACTGGTGACTCTAGACCACTGACTGCGACCATGACTTTTGTGAGCATGGATATCTTCACAAGAAGAACTACCACACTGTCAACAATCTATGGGCTCTTCAGTCAGAATTTCAGGCCTTTTTTAGCCTAGATGACCTAAAGATGTTAAGATTCTGCAGTTTAAACTGAGAACTACATAAACTACTGAAAATTGATGTTATTTTTAAAATTTCATTTAATAATTATTCATTGTTTATTAAATTCACCCATTCCACAACAAGACACTACTCAGAAACATCTCATAAAACAAAAGGCAAACAGTATGAATGCAGTGTAAATTAGTGATAAATTGCTTAATATTCTCTAATTTTTCCATGTATATTAATTCAAAGAGTAGTCCCATTCAAACAATTATCACCCTCAAAAATCAAAACAGTTTAAAATGCCTATTTGTAATAGATGAGACACTTTTGTTCATCTATATTCAAAACAAAGGCAGTCATCTAATTTCATTGCAGGTTGTCATGTTTTCTGAAATATGCTATTACTTTTCTCTTTTGTCATAAAAGATTGAGGAAGTGCAATTTTCTTCACAAAGTGAAAAAAAATCTAGAATGTTTGAGATGAGCACAGTTGTCAAAGACATCATTAGGAGAAAACAGCATGGGTTATTTTCAGCAGTAGTAATGGTTCAGCCCTGCCTTCCATTTACCAGGTCCATATCTTCATGCACATCACAGAATCTGCGGCTGTGCATGAGAATACAAAATACAAAATACAAAATACATTCATGAACTTTGCAAACAGCTTTGAGAGACTCCTAACTGGGGGCAGTATCAGGTATTATTTTAGTCTTTATTTTGCACAAATGCTTCTCCATCAGATAATCTGTGTTTTGATGGTAGTAGATTTTACTGCACTGCCTGGAAGTACAGGGTATTTTTTTTTCAGAATGATAGCAGTACCTACTCAATACTTGCAGAGAATTTTTGAATTTCACTGCAAACCAATTTGCTTTTTTCAAAGCTCACTTGCTATTCATGAAATAAGTAGTTTTGTCTTTAGTATTTGTAAAGTTATCGAAATCTTTCCATGGTGGTAACAACAGTGCTTTAAAGAAACTGTATTATTTGGAGGCACTATTAATATTAATCCCACAGAGAACTTAATGGAAGAGAAGTACAACTTTTATCATTCACAGATGCTGTGATGAAAACAGGTGGGACTTCATGATGCCTGGACAGAAGAGCAGAGCAGACGTCACGCTGAAAATGTATTTAGTTATTTGTGAGTTAAGGGCTAACAGCGTAAGGCCCCTTTCTAACCCCACAGAACACAATGCTCCCAACAAAGCACTGAACTGCTAAGCTCTCCCTGACAGCTATTGGCAACTCTTTTAGAAGTGGCTGTGTATGCTATGTAGCACATCACCAAGTACAGACACATACACTCAATCAAGGAACTTGCACCTCTGTAGATGTTCTCTTGAGCTTGATACTTTGGTATTTTTTGATGAAAGATGCTATCTATTGCAAGCACCTTCTAATTTGTGTTAGTAAGATGCTTTTTGCATTAAATCACGGAACTGCCAATATAGTAAAATATCTATATAGCACACTGGCATCCTTTGATGAAAGATGTTACTGATGTTACCCTAAATACGAAGTGTTATTATCCCATATGTATGATTTTACTCCTTACTTTCCCAAGAATTAACACTTAGCCCACTGCACCGTATGCCTATCCGGATGATATGAACTGAAATGATAATGAAAAATTCCTAAGATCTCATCCATCTCAAGTTTGGAACTGCACGTTCTTCATATTCCATAGTGCAAAAATTAGTTAAATCACTTGTTTTTGTAGTGAAATTCATTTTTCTTGTCTTGTTTCAACATTATGCTTCTCCATTTAGCTTGTACCAGGTGATTCTCTGGAAAAGGGAGCTTTGCATCAGTAAGGACTGGAGGATTCGGTCTGGGCAAGAGCACCCATGCAAAACACAGTGCTCCTTGGAACACGAGATCATTAGCAAGGAAGAACTGCTGCTCACTTTTCAATGTTTCATGTAGAGCTATGCCCTAGCAATATTTTAATCTATTGAGCTTCATGTGTTCTCTTTCACCCTGCCTCCAAAGTCACAGCTGGCAAAATCAAATGGGTCATTTTACCACAATAAGGCCAATGATGCAGTTCAGTGAGCACCATTTGTCCTTTACATTATGCCATGAGCCTAATTACAGATTGCAGGTAATAGATTTTTATAGGCCAAAGGAAAGTAAGTCCTTTCATCTTAAGAATATCCCTTAAAAAACTAAAAACACTGAAAACACACTTTTTTTTTCTAATATTCCAACAAATTTAGTCACATCTTTTGTAAAGATAAATCAAGACATAGCCTCCAAAGACCAGACTGTATCATCAGCCTACCACACTGTTTCTAATAGAGGAATTAGCAGATGAATACCCAACACCTGCCACCATGATCAGGCTCTGGCAATCACAACCAGGTACATGCACATTGTGAACTTTTTTTTTTTTTTGAGCAGTTTAAAGCAAAGTAACCAGCCACAACAGTTACGTTGAGACTTGCCTAGGTTTATACAGAGCCAGATTTTATGTGAAATAAACCATAAATACCTACTTCCTAAGGCTAAGTCAAACAGCCACAGAAAAAGCTGCAGGTTAACCATGTGTAATAATGAGATTGCATTGCAAAAGGATACATAAAACATATGGTTTACATAAAAATTGCTTAATATTCGTCTTGTATTTACACCTGACAAATTCTCATGCACGTTTCAAGCACTGTCCCTGCAAAGCATCAGCAGCCTGAGCAACCCTAGAAACTGACCCCAAGTTCTCAGTGGGGCTCATCGGGCTTCCTCGTGTCCTCCCTTTGCAATCCATTCCTATCAGCTCAGAACTGCAGCTCTGTTCCCTTCCACACAGTGTCTGGTATTGTCTATGCAAGTTTTAGCCATTCAGAGCACTTAGGAGAGTACACCTCTTAGGAGCTATTAGTACCAACAGACCTAAATTCTAATTTACTCACCCTTCACGAACCTTACCAATACACAAGGACCTCAAGCCCTGCACACTGCAAGAGGGAAGGGAAAGTCAAAGTGAAATATTCCTGCCAAATCCAGTCTCCAGCTGCCCTCTCCCTGGCAACTGATTCACTTGTGAATCGTTCAGCCTTTTCCACTCCTCCTCCCTTTTCTCTGCAGGGACTACTGTCCCTCTTGTAAATATCTAGTTCAAAACTGGCAACACAAAACTCAAATATCAAAGATGCTCACAAGAAATGTGAAACTGCCTCAATCTTAACAAGGTTATGCTGCTTTAAACCAAGATCAAAACCTAGTCTGGGAAAAGAATCAGTTAAGAGGAAGCAAGACATAAGTCATTACTGCATCACTGCTGAAAGAGAAATATTCTTTATCTTTTAGTTACAAAGTTATCATATATTTCCCCCATCGTTGGAATGGACAGTCTACATTTATCATAGTATACACACAGTGCAAAAAACTAGGGCTGACTCCAATCATAAGGTCTTAACTGTTAGAAAGATTCTAAAGGAAAAATGCAGTTAAAAAAATGGGGGGGGAGGGGGGTAGAGGAGGGGATGCATGGGTAAAACAGGGCACTAATTCAAAAAATACAAACTGGGCATCCATTTGCTTCTACAAAGTCACACATGCTTCACTTTGCTTATGATTTTATATGACTATTCATTTATTTTAATGCTACTAAATAGGTAAATTAGCAGATTAAAATGAAATCCTGACCTAGCTGTAAAACCAATAAAAATCCAAAAAAGCATAAAGCATCAACTGCTTCTTTAACACACATTTAATTAAGATTTATTCACAAGTCTCTGGCCTGGAATATTTCATCAGCCAGCATAATAATGAGAAAAAAAAATCAATGCTAATATATAGTCAGTTCCAGAAATATGCACAAATCCTCTTTTCATTTTCCAAACTCACATTATGCATTGCCAAAAGTAAAGCACTTCAGGAAGAATAAAAAGAGGCTGTCAAAAGAAACCTCCTTCTTACAAACACCTTGTGTTTTAGAATGATATGTGGAAAAAATAAAAGATCCCTTTAAAGTAGTGAGCATGGATATAAATCATGTGTAATACCTTAAAGTATCCTCAAGGTCAAATAATAACGTTCAGAAAATACATTAAAAATTATTTCAGTTGTATTTTGGGGGTTTTGTTTTGTTTTTTTAGTTGATGTAGACTGAAAGAAAATATGTGCCAAAGTACTGCAAGCTGTTCTATTTGGGAACATCTGGATTATCTTCACTTTTTCCCCTCAAACACTACAATTCACAGGCCACTGGTTTCAGTCTTACTTGGCAGCGCTAAGGTTTCATTAGGCTTTTTCAGTACCTGAAGATGCATCATTTATTTCTGTCACTTACTTTCCAGTTTCAGTTTATGGCTTCATTGAGATAGAAACAAGTATTTTACTTCACAAATACCTTTGAATGAAGGTGAACACACACAGTTTTGCTTTCCAGTGGTCAAGCTTCAAAAGAAAGATTTAGTATAATCCAATTATTCTTTTATTCATAAAACTTTCAAAGAGTTAAGGAGTTATCTGCTCCCTTAACAGCATTTAAATGAATTAAAAATTAACAGCAGTAATTGAAGTAGAGCA